ATATTCACCCTGTGTAGTCATGTCTGTCTGTCTGTATGTATGTGTCTGTTGTCTTTGTCTTTTATAAGTCTGTCTATCTGTCTGTCTTTCTGTGTGTCCTTGAATCTGTCTTTATTATGTCTTTTGTTTGTCCGCTTCTCTCTCTCTCTCTCTCTCTCTCTCTCTCTCTCTCTCTCTCTCTCCATTTTTATCCATACTATCTCTATCTTTATTTATATATCTCTCTCCATTACACTACTCATCATATTAGGCACTTTTCTTCCTTATTAAATAGGTGATTTTAATATGGTATTCTGGGAACTTTAAAAACACATCCCTCCATTCATACCTCCACCTCTCACTATCCCTCTCTCCCATCCCCTTTCCTCGCTCGCCTCTTAAGGATAATAATGTTTCTTCTCCTTCTCTTCTCCCTTTCTATCTTCTCCATGCATTCCTGTTATTATCTTTTATCTCTTCTCCTTTTCCATGTACAGTCAGCCACAGGAATAAGTATACACTGTAGCCTCGTCAGGTCCGAAAATGCTCTGGTAACGTTGAAACTGCGCATCCAGACGCATGGTGAAACTCAGCTCCCCCACCTGTTATCTCTAACTATTTTCTTTTTCCCCTTCTTTATTTTTCTATTTACTCACCTTCCTTCCTTTACTAATCCAAACAACATTAAAAAAAAGTAGGCTAAGAAAAAAAGCGGGGGGAGGAGGCGGGAGCCGTACGATAACTGCAATCATAACTGCAATCGTCCGGCCGGCAGACAGCATACATCGACATCTTTTGCCAGCGTAAATAAAATGGTTAATTAATGCCTTCCTAAAGAAACCATCGACATGGGGCCAGGTTTGTTCCACTCTACGAATTTTGTGCGATTTTTCCACCAAGTTTGATGAAAAACGATTGTGCTGTTTCGGCTGCCCAGAACAGACAGATAGACAGACAGACAGAGGACAGACAGACAGACAGAGGACAGACAGACAGACAGACAGTTAGTCCTATAGTATATTAGATTAGATGCTGTTTTTGTTTACCCTATTCTTGTTTTGATTTTTTGCACAGCTAATGTTACTTCCTAAATATTTGTTTTCCACTTGTTTAAGTTCCCTTTTGCCTTCCATTTTTTATTTAAAATTTATTTCCAACTCTGCAAAATCATTATATTTTTCCTTAAAGAATTAACTCTTAAATCATATTTTTTCATACCTTTTCCACTAATCTGTTAACGATTTTTTTGTCTCTTCACTATCTGTGATAGGAGCAGTATCATCTGCATAACTTTTATATTAAGTTTAATTGACCATTAACTTTTAGTCCTTCCTTATCACTTATAACTGCTTACATTAAGAATGATGAATATATATTATAAAATGTTGGAGATAGATCACAGCCTTGTCTTACTTCCTGTCTAACTGTGAACACTGCAGCCTCCCGTTGTCAGTAAAGATTCTGTAAAATTGTAATATCTTGTTCATTAATGACATTTTTTTCCAAGATCTCTATAAGTTTATTGTGCTTTAACTTATCCAAAGTTTTTTCAAAACAAACAAAGCAGGTGTGCAAATTTCTTTGGACCTCTAAAGACCTTTCACTCTTAAAATTCTCAAACCAAATATAGCTTCTCTAGTTCCTTTTCCCTTTCTAAATCCACCTTGCTCTTCAGATAAGTACCGTTCAATTCTAAACTTTATTCTACTTAAAATTATGTTAAATAAAACCTTACAGGCATTTCTTATTAAGCTTATTGTTCTAAGCTGGGTACACTCTAAGGTTCCCGGCGTTTTAAGTAATAATACAAATATTTATTTTTTCTTTACATCACAGGGAAGGTCTCCTGTGAAGTATATACTACAGAATTACATATTTTATTCAAACACTTTATCCCATTCTTCCCCCTTTGTTTTATAAATTCTTACCTCTACTCTATAATTGCCAGATCTTCATTCTGACGGCTATTACTCATCTCGCCACCTGAGGTTACTTATTGTGGCGCCCGTTCGGCAGTGGTTCTCAGTGGACTGTAGAGTGAATCGGTAGTTGATCACTCACGTGATCCTTGCAGTGCTTGAATCGGTTGGTTTTGTACTGTGCGTTCTGCTGCCAATCCCCTCACTATGGTTATTTCAGCCTAGAATTCATTAAGGATCGCGGCGGTTTGGACTCTCGCCTGCTTGTTAACCTTTTTTTTAAGCTTTTTTAGGGCAGCCTCAGTCCATGCCATGTGTCCTTTGTCCTGTTCTGACCTTGTTGAGCTGTGTACTCCATTCTTGTCACAGGCGGTCGATTCTTGGCACCCTCCACCTGGTAGAGTGACCCGGTCTACTCTACATCTTGCTATAGGTGGATGACCCTTAGCACCATCCACCTAGTAAGGTGTCCCGGTGTACTACACGCTTTGTTATAGGCAGACTGCTTTTGGCACCCTCCACTTAATAGGGTGGCCCGGTGTACTCCACGCTTTGTTATAGGCCGGCAAACTTAAACCTCACATACCTTGGTACTCCACGCCTCTTTACAGTCAGGTAACCCTTGGCACCCTCCACCTGGTATGGTAGTGTGGCCAGGTGTACTTCACGCCCTTTTGCAGGCGGGCGAACTTAAACATCCCTCACCTTGGTAGGGCAGAGCTTTGTAATTCAAACCAAGGTTTTAGGTGGGCGATCACAACGTATCCGTCCTCCAACACTTCATTACAACACCGAAGCTATGTCGTAATGCACATCTTCAAGACACGCCTCGATGACTCAGTTATCTTTTACTTCTACTCTACTTCGAATCAAGTATGACGATCATCCTGCTATGATACAATGATATGAGTTATTAAGGATGTCACCTTCATTGGTGAGTTCAGAGGTGACTTGAGAAGCAGATACGGTACGGGCAGGGTCGTCCACAAATGTTGCAAGTGTGATGGGCTACATCTAGTGCAGGAGGGGCACTGGCAGCATCTTTCCGGCGCTGGCTCTTGTCTGTCTCCGGTATGCAGTCTGGTTAACTCGAAATTATTGACACCTCGTATGGTGCTCCAAGGTGAGGGGGTCGATTTGGTACTTTTCAGGTTTGTTTTAACCTTTTCCGTTGGCCGCCAGCATTACCATTGCCATTTGTTAGGTCATTGGTTCCCAGGAAGAGGTACCAAGGGTTCCGTAGGACAGCAAAATTTTTGTATTTTGACAAGCTAAAATACACTGGGGTGGCAGACTGGAAATTATTTAACTTGTGAACGGGAAAGACGAATGTATTTGTTTTGTGGTGTTGTTTATTGTCATATTTTTTTATAAAACAATATTGCTTATATTTGTATGGGATACCAAATAAAATCTTCACGAGAGGACTCTTATGTCGCCGCGACACAAGTGACAGCGATTAGTGTTGCCGTACGCCTGGCCTTGAATGGAGTTATCATCTGCCCTAATCACTCACGTTCATCCACCGCTTGTGCTGTGCTGTGTTTGAAATGGAAAAGTGGTTAAAATACCGCACTTTAAACCCAAAGCTTCAAGATGGTGATGAGCATCTTGGTATGTCTGGTCATTCTGATGAACAAGGAGATTCACGGAATGTTGAGGTGGATGAACCACAAACGTCTCCTCCAGTGATTAAAAAATTAGGAACTTATAAATCAGTAAGTGGGAAGCCAAGAAACACAAGTTTGATGACAGCTATAGAAACTTTGGCCCCGTGTCTATTGGAGATGAAAATGCTCCTGGTGGTCAATGTGTTGAATGTAATCAAGTATTAACAAACAGCAGTTTAAATTCTCCAAAACTGAGGAGGCACTTGGAAACAGAGCACCCACAATTAGTTGGCAAAACACGGTGATTATTTTAAAAGAAAGCAAGATCAGCTGCAAAAAACCTATTGTTCCTATTAAAAATTGTGCTTGCCATGACAGCAAAAATACACTTGAATCTTTCATATCGTATCAGTTATCACATTGCTGAGGCTGATGAAGCTCATATAATTGCAGAATCTTTAGTGAAATCGCGTGCGAAAGACAGTTTCCTGCATGTTGAGAGAAAAATCTAGTAAGATTCTTGAAACTGTTCCCTCGTCACATTATAGATTTGGCAAGTAACTGTGAGTCAGCGTTAGTTAATCATCTGAAAAGCATTCCTGTTGGTTTTATCATACAACTTGATGAGTCAAGTGACGTTGCTGGATCAGCTGTCCTTCTTGTGTTTGTACACAACATTTTTGAAGAATCCGTGCATGAGGATATGTTGTTGTGCCAAGCTATTGAAACCACTACAAAAGAAATAATCTGTTAGGATCTCTCCACAAATATTTGCACTGACGGGGCAAAAACAATGACAGGCCCAGTAAAATTTGTATTGGTTCTCATCAGAAATGTTGCACGTGCAGTAGAAGGTAGACACTGTTACTTTCATAGAGAAGTTTTAGCTGTGAAAAAGATGCCAAAAGAACTAAAAGCTATACTTTACGGAGTAGTCAAGATGGTAAATGTCATCAAAGCTAGACCACTCGAGTATTTACTGCTCTGTGCCAGGAGATGGGCTCACTCATAATGCACGGAGGTGGGTTGGTTATTCCGCGGTAAAATTCTTTCACGTGAGGTTGAACTGCGACATGAGATTCAAATCTTTCTGACGGAAAACTAGTACATTCACTGATGAAGTCAAGTCTGGCGAAGTAAACTGGCCTATCTTGCAGATTGTTTTTAATTAAATGAGCTGAACTTATTATTGCAAGGCTCAAATATCAACATGTTAAATGTTCAAGACAAAATTTAATATGTTTTCCTCAAAACTGACTATTGGAATGATTGTTCAAACAAAAACCAATGCGAATGTTTTTTTCAAATCTTCATGAATTCATAAATGGGAATGGTTTGACACTTGATGAAAGTTCAAGAGACTGCCTAATTTAGCACCTACAACAAGTAAAGAATACTATAAGGGAGTATTTTCCCAAGCAGCCAGACCATCTAACATGGCTGCGCAATCCATTTCTGGATTCAGGAATTGTGATGGAGTAAAATCTGCCAATAAACGAAAAAGAGCAGCTTTATTGACATATTAACTGACCTCACACACAAAACAATATTTGGTAAAGGACTCACTGCTTCCTTTGGGATAAAACTTTTATATGAATTCCAGTGACAACTCTATCCTCACAGATGGTGATCTATCAGTTGAGGAAACCTTGTTTAAATCCCAGATAACCAACTTTAGGCTTTTGAAGTTTTGTGAGAATTTTCTTGATAAATTCAATTATATGTGGAGCTCCTTCACCCACCTTTGGCTTCTCATAGTCTCCACCGAAGTAAGCGTGAACTTTACCCGGCACAATATGTTTAGTATCATCTGTCTTCAGACACATAACTTCAAATACTTCCATGACGTGTGTCATTGTATTCTCTTCCTTCCACTGGATTCTCTTCTTTCGTTTTTCTTGGAGCAGCATCAAGAAGGAATTCTTGAAACAGAATCCTGCAGGAATAGGGATATTCCAGTAGCGAGAGTCCCACCAAGAAAATTGGTTCTTCACTTCTCTCGGCATCCAGGAATCAGCCTTCATGTAAGAAAGGAGAGTCTTGCCGGTGAGAAACACTTGGCGTTCCTGAAGATCCAACCGCTTCACCACCTCCACCTCAGTCGCAGCGAAGCTGCCGCGCCATTTTGCATCTCCGGTGTTACTGATGTGGATCATCTGTGAGTCGTCGGGTGTGAGGGGTGGTCTCATTATCTCCTTAGGCCAAGTTACAGATAGTACAGGAACTAAGTCAATGTCAACCAACAGCAAAGGATATTCACTCCCTTGCCAAGCCAGTGACAGTGCCAGGCCCACCTGCGTCCTGGTCACACCAGGTGGCACAAGGCTCAGTCTGTCGTCCTGCAGTACATAGCTCTTAAGGGTTTCTCTTACTCGCTCGTACAGGTTACTCATCAATTTATTACCCTTAAGACTTGGGTTTTTTGTTTCAATTTCAATCTTTAACTTGTGGCCGCTTAACAAGACATCCTTCATTCTTTGTTTAATAATGTTAACAGTGACATCAGAGAAGCTCTTGAGAGTTAGATTAAAATCATACTCATCAGGACAATAGAGCCTTGTGGAGTCTGCAGTGCTCCCAAGCAGCGTGAGTGTACCAGTGTACGTACTGTCAATAACTGCAACTTTGTCTGTAATTTTCTTCATCTCTTTCGTTATGACTTCCTTTACTTCTTGTGCCTCACCGGTAGTGTAATCAACAGCCACTTTATGTGCATTTTTCACCAAGTTTCTTATGTTGGTACGTTTGAGAAGATTTATTGTGGCATCTATTGGGTTGTTCTCTATTTGTGCTTCATTTGACTCACATTTTTTATACATCTTCAAGTAGTTTGAGAAGTTAGTTTTGACATCTGATGGCGTAGTTCCAGCTCTACAGGAAGGCTCCTGTTGTTTCAGGAACTCTCTAAACAGCTCATAGGCCTTTTGGTGGCCAAACATGGCTGCCAGATGGGGAGCTGTTTGCTTGTATAGATCTTCGTGCAGCGGGTCAGCGCCAAGGTTCAGAAGGAGGAGGACGCTGCCAGACTTGCCATGAGAGGCAGCTTGGTGAATGGCAGTCGTGCCATTAGTAGGATCCACTTGTGTATTAACTCCCACACCTCCCACCTTCACCAGGAGGTAGATCAGTTGCAGCAATCCACCTTGAGACGCTGTGAGTAGTACCCGAGCGTTGTTGAATGGTTTTTGACATAGGGGTGTGGCTGTGTTCCCTCTGGCGCCAGTTATCTTCTCCCAGTAAGTGGTAAAGAGGTTCTTCTGAACGCGGAGAAGCTCTTGTACCTGCTGCTTGTCCACTTTGTCTTTCATCTTAAAGTGTAGCTCCTCCAGCTGGATCCTTTCCTTGTTATAAATATTCTGCCAAGAAAAATATCGTTGTTGTGAACTATTGGAGGAAACTGATGTTACAATTTAACCAGAATATAATCCTTACAGTCGTCTATAGCACTCAGAGGGTTAATGTATATTGTTGAGACAGTTGCGTGAGATGTAATCAATTGCACTTGCAATGAAACAAAGAAAATATGACAATTATCAAGACATTAAAACAAACTTAAGTAAATTATGAAACACATGGAATTTGAAAATGATCCATATGTTATTTTTTTTTCACAAACTCAAGGTGAACAAAAAACTTTTCCTCATTTGATTATAATATGAAAAGTTAGTCAAAATTGTGAAGTGAAATTAATGTTGCTTGTTAAATCTCCAACAAAATAATTTAAGTATTCAGTTCTCAGAACCTGAGTTCTGTATCCAAATATCATATAGAATTAGCCAAAATATTGGTGCTGGTTTGATCATAGACACTGTATATTATGAGCCTCACAAATACTAACCTGCTCTAGCTGCTGGCGGAGGTGTGAAGACATTATAGTTGTGGGCAGTCGACCTCCAGAGTCACCTACATAGAGGCAACCTCCCATGTTCTTGAGCATTTGCCTCGCCAGGTTCCAGTGACCAGCCTCCAGCGCTGCGTGCAGAGGACTCACACCGGACTTGGTGCACAGGGAAGACTGACCACCAGCCTCATGGATGAAGCTGCATGTCAAAGTACATCCAGAACGGACGGCCTCGACCATGAGCTCTGTCAGTTGGACCACTGACCCGCCACCAGGCCAGCTGGCTCGCCAGGGAGTGTCACCTCTCATGGTGGTCATGAGTTGACCAACACCTTCTTCAACTTCTGGAAGGTGTGTCAGCTTGTTACGTTCATACTCCAGCACATGAAGGAAGGCCTGAAGATACACAAAACATTAATGTTGTTTTCAGAAGTTTACAGTATGATGATAACAATGAAACAATTTTTAGTATTATAAAGGTTTTACACAATCACTTTTATGAAATTAAGTTTATTGTTGAATTGACTTAAGTAAATATAATATTTAATGTAATGGTGTATGCAGGTATTTTTGTAGCTTAATGTGGGAGTTGATTAATATTAGTATTAGCTTTGTAGTCTTTGTAGTATGGAGCGATGTCAGTCATTGGCTGGCCTTGGAGGTGGAAGGACGTTTGAGTTTGTTAGTGGTGGATACCTTTTCAAATCGGGTTTTGTTGAATATTAACTATTCAGTTCTGCTCTAGTATTATTTATGGGTGTAAAGTGCAATCAATGGTGATATTACAAAGTGGTTTATTGTTTATTTACTGTGCATATATTAGTGGTTTACTCAGAATTATGTTTATTCTTTATTCTCTTGATTTAATTTGTCTGTTGATGATGGAACCTCCACACTAATTATTGTATATTTTTTATTTAATTTTATTTAAATCTTTTGTGATGTGTATAATGCCAAACCTTCACTCCTGAACTGTTGGGATAAACAGAGGGATGTGATTGAACCCAGGAATAAGATGTGCTGAGTTGCCATTTTTTTGGTGCCATATGTGCCCTCATTAGTATATTAATCTTTTATGTAATTCAAGTTGATAATTTATGGCATAACAATATATATATATATATATATATATATATATATATATATATATATATATATATATATATATATATATATATATATATATATATATGCTGATAACCACAAGGAAAGAAGAAAACACGAAGTTCCCAAGCGCTTTCGTGTAATTCACATCTTCAGGGGTGAGTACAGACTAAGGAGAAGTACAAACAAGGCATATATACAGAGGAGGGTGAGATCAAGTCCACAATGGTCAGGTATTAGGTAATGACCCTACTAATCTTCAAAAAGCACGCAGCAGTCGGTGGTCAGGTCAGAGGGTAAGCTGACCCAACCTTCTCACCTGGTTACAAATCTTCTTAATTACGAAATTATCCAGTTTGTACATACCATTACTCAAATTCATGTTGACTGATTCGGTATGTTTAATGAGACTAGATTCTATAATGTTCCTACTGTCAATTGAATTACAAGGTAATATTGAGGAGGCATTATCCCAGTCAATGCAATGCTTATTATCCCTCAAATGAACAAACAGAGCATTGGATTCCTGGCCTGTCCTAACACTATATTTATGTTGTTTAAGTCTAGTTACAAGATCTTTACCTGTCTGGCCTAAGTAAAACATATTACATTCCTTGCAAGGAACCTTATAAATGCAGCCACTTGTATTGTTGGGGGAGTTCTTGATTAACATTTGTTTAACAGTGCATGAGTTTTTAAATGCCACATTGACGTTCCAGGTTTTTAGTTGTAAAGGAATTTGAGAGAAATTTTTGTGAAATGGTAATACTAAGAGATTCTTATGGTCATGGGTGGGCTTGGGATCGGTTCTATAGAAAGATTTCTTAGTAATGTTAAGGCATTTGTCTATGAAAGATCTAGGGTATTTAAGGTTCAAGCCAATATTATAGATATATTTATATTCCTCATCAATGAATTCCGGGCTGCAAATTCTCAAAGCACGTAAAAACATTGATGAAAATACTGACTGTTTGACTCTATTATGGTGGGCAGAATAATAATGAATGTATGAACACACATTAGTAGGTTTCCTATAAATACTGAACTTAAAGGTGTTACCTATTCTGTGGATCAGACAGTCTAGGAAAGGCAATTTACAGTCATGCTCTAATTCCACAGTGAATTTGATCGAGGGGGCTAAGTTGTTAAGTTGTGGCAGGAAAGCTTTTAGGTCCTCATTACATGGCCAGAGATATAATACATCATCAACATAGATGTGAAAGACTGCCTGCTTAGAACTTCTTGTTTCTTGTGGTTTCAGTATTTATAGGATATATATATATATATATATATATATATATATATATATATATATATATATATATATATATATATATATATATATATATATATATATATATATATATATATTGTTATGCCATAAGCTCGTTGAACAGGCTTTGTGTGAAATATAGTAGTCTAGGACTGCTTTTAGTATCCTGGTGGTCTAGAGGTAGCGTTCCCCGGTCACAGTCATGGGCTGTGGGTTCGAATCCTGGCGGGGTGAGGTGTTGATTATTTATATATATATATAAATATATATATATATATAAATATATATATATATATATATATATATATATATGTATATAGTTTTAAGAAAGCATGATCCAAGAATAAATGTAAAACGTGTGTAACTGGTAGAAGTTAGAAGTGTGTAAAACTGCAAATATCTGTATATTTGAGATTTTTTTTTTCTTGAATGTATTGTAGACCCAAAGTTTTGGCGCCCTCCATAATATTTACAATGACAAATATGGCCCAGAGACTACAAAAGGTTGGGGATCACTGTCTAAACTCTTCAGCGCTGTGTTGTGACCTGGGAGTAAGAAATAGAGCATGTTAAAGACATGCTAATTACCTGGATGTAAAATAACAGTGTGAAGAACTTGTCAATTTGCTTGCAGATTGTATAGTTTGCTGAGAACATAAGAACCTAAGAATGGAGGAAACTGCAGTGGGCCTATTGGCTCATACTGGGCAATCCCGTTTACACCCAAGCCCTATTGCTCATAATATGACGGATATATTATATCCATCCAACCTATACTTGAAGCTACCCAGCATGTTCGAGTTAATGATGATGTTTGGTAACTTTTTTCACTCACCTAATACTCTATTTTCAAACCAGTGTTTACTTATCTCGCGCCTAAATCTAAATTTGTCTAATTTAAAACAATTGCTACTAGTTCGCTCCTGACAGGCTTTTTGGGACTATTTCGCCGACCTAATGTTTATGTAATAAAATTAATTATATAATTGTATTTATTGTAGTATGCAAATAAAAACAAGACTTATGAGGACATGCACACTTATAGTCCAATAACGTTCTTGGTACTTGCACACTATAGCGTAAATAACGCACACGATATTTGCACACTTTTGTTAAAAATATACATCGACCAAAAGGCGGTACATGGTCCACTGGCCACTGAAGTATACCTCAGGGCAGCGTCGAGGTAGTTAGACTTCAGGTGGTATACGGTAGGGGGAGGCAATTTTTACGTGACTACTGAGGTCCACTGTACGCTGAAAAATACGCCTGGTAGTGTTGAGGGCGAGCATCAGCGTCAAATTACTGGCCGATTAGTTTGACGTCAGTAGTGGGGAAATTTCTTGAATTACTTATAACAAATAGCATCCTATCGCATTTAGAGGAAAAACAAATTAATCTACTATTCTCAACATAGGTTTACAAATGGAAAATCTTGCCTAACAAATCTGCTGACTTTTTTTAGGAAAATCTTCGAGGTAGTAGATAATGACGGAAATTACGATGTTATTTACTTAGACTTTAGCAAAGCGTTTGACAGAGTGCCGCATCAGAGGCTTCTGAGAAAAGTTAAGGCTCATGGCATCGAGGGGAGAGTTTTAAATTGGATAAAATCATGGCTCACCGATAGAATACAGAGGGTCAGCGTAGATGGTGTTAAATCTGAGTGGGGCTGTGTAACCAGTGGGGTTCCCCAGGGGTCAGTACTGGGCCCAATCTTGTTCATAATCTACATAAATGATCTAGATACTGGGATCAGCATGACATAGCAAGTTTGCAGATGACACCAAAATAGGGCGGCAGATTAAATCAGGGCAGGATGCAAATGCACTACAGGAGGATTTAAATAAACTGCAGGAGTGGTCAGAACAATGACAAATGATATTCAACACCAGGAAGTGCAGCGTACTTAATATTGGAAGAACAAATACTGGCAATGTATACAGCCTTAACAACATCAACTTAGGGGTACTTATAAGCCCGGACCTACGGTCTAGAAAACAGTGAGTTAATGTTCGAAATAAGGCAAACAGAGCATTCGGTTTTATATCTAGAAGTGTAAGTCATAAGAGTGCTGAGGTCATATTGCAACTATATCTTGCGCTAGTGAGGCCACACCTCGATTATGCTGTTCATTTCTGGTGCCCTTATTATGGAATGGATATCAATCCACTGGAGTTGGTGCAGCGAAGAATGACGAAAATGGTTCCGGGACTGAGAAACCTTCCATATCAAGATAGATTAAAGAAACTGATCTTGCATTCCCTAGAAAGACGAAGAGTGAGGGGAGGTATGATAGAAGTATTTAAGTGGGTGAAAACAATCGATAAAGGAGATATAGATAAAGTTCTTATAATATCCGAGCAGGATAGGACTTGTAGCAACGGATTTAAGTTGGATAAGTTTAGGTTTAGGAGGGAGATAGGAAGGAACTGGTTCACAAGTAGGGTGGTAGACGAGTGGAACAAGCTTAGCAACTTTGTAGTAAGTGCTGGGACGCTGGAAAGTTTTAAAAGGAGGTTATATAGATTCATGGATGATAGAGAGTGGTAGTAACTCTCGACAGGAACTGCCATGCACAGGCCAACCGACCTATTGCAGACTCCTTATTTTATTATATTCTTATGTTCTTAAATGCCACGTGCCTTATTTTTACTAAAATGTGCAAATGCCTTGTACATTATTTTCAATAAAATTGAGAACATAAGAATGGAGGAAACTGCAGCGGCTCTTTTGGCCCACAGTAGACAGCCCCGTTTACACCCAACCCCTATCGCTCATATATCCGTCCAACCTATATTAGCACCTACCCAGTGTGTTCGAGTAAATGATGAAGTTG